CAAAGGAAAGGATGCCACCTTCCCCTGGTTCGAGTCCTATTTGGTGGTGACGGTCAGTTCTACCAGACAATAATTCTTTGTTCTAATCTCTCTGCCCTATACAACGATGAAAAACGGTCATTTTCAATTGTCCATCTCTATCGTCTCTTGGGAGTACGGGTAAATTGGAAAACGTGCTATAATCGTTACTAGCGTGTGCTGCTGCCATGGTAACCTTGCCGTACCCCGCAGAAGAGCTTGCTCCAAATGAACCTTCCTTCCCATCCAACCTAGCTATCATTGTGAGAATTTTAGTGAATCTAATGGATGTTATAATTTTTTGTTTAGATTTTTCTTCATTGTTTTCTTGCAACAGTTCAAAACTCTCTATTTTATGACTTTCTGCACCCGAGACTTTGAACACACATCAACAAATCTTCTTGCAGAGCGAGCTCCCTTATTTTCTACAGAGCCCATTGACATGTCCGACGAACCAGTGGCGACAGAAACGCACCCAGAGGATGTTCCCCACTTTGATGGGCTATTCAAAGCTCTACGGCTTTATCGAAACAATCAAATACAAGCCTGTGAGGAAGAATGCACAAAACTCCTCAGAAAAAATCCGCTTGATCAAGTAAGTCTTTCGTGATACAAAGCTCATGCAATGATGAACCTCCAGGGTAATCCACTCGAATTCAGGCCGCATGGGCGTTGAAGCTTTCGTGTTTGACTGATCCTGTGTATGTGGACGAATTGGATAATGATGAACTCGGCATTGCTGAGACGTTTCTCGATCAGAATGTCATCGCACCGAATGCTCGTCCTGGTACATCGTTTCAAAGACCCTCGACAACTGCGAAAGGGATGAATCCGATTTTGAGGTTCGTTAATTAAAAAGTGTTCCAGAAGCTTACTCCTTTTTGCTTTAGTCCTACCATTACCTTTCTCTATCATTGGAACGCTTAGGTTCACGAAAACAGAGAGTTAACCCTCCCGGTCATAGTTTTTTTTACGACTTTGAAAGGAATGGTTTCCCCGGAGTATGGCAGTCAGAGCCTACGGAAACCTTATTTACGAACAAGGAGGCCTATGCCGTATTCCGAGAAGTGAGGGCAGTACATGGCTTATACTCAATAGTTCCATGCAGCTCTCGGACCTCACAGACGACGGTTTCAGGCCTACATCAACAGCAGGACGACCATTGTCTGGTGTTGTACGGCCAATTACGTCGCTACGTCCAGGTACAATGGAGCAGGCGGTTCGAACCAGCCGAACAGCCCGTACTGCACGTGCGGTCAGCAGCAGTTCTGCCAGACAACTTCGACTCGGCACGGTATGTATATTCAAAAAATTACATACGTTCGCTGAAACAATTTGCGAATGCTCAACTGGAACGGGAAAATGGCTGCCTATACACCTTGCATTCGAGCGAGCGGTCGCGTGTGCGTCAGCTGTGTTCTGCATTCACCAACCTGCTCTACAGAGACACTCATTTTGATCCAATGAACTTATTAGTAATTGACGCTAAACTGTTAAGGCATCTATGGCTTCTGATCCAGAAGGGCCGTTTGTCAATTTGTCTCGCCTGAACGTCGACAAGTACGCAGCTGATCCTTTGGTATGTTGTAGTTGCGCTTGGTCGAGTGATTGGGTGGTAAATAGTAACGAGTGTCCATTGGCGCACAAGATCATGGATCGAATCCTGGTTGAGGCAGAGATCCCATGCCGTCAAACCTTTCAATAATTTTTTCAGGTGAATCGCCAACTGTTTGAATACGTATTCTATCACGAAGGAGACATGAAAATTGCCCATCAGGTTAGACTTAGGCTTCACTCGTTCCCTTGTCTGATTTATGAGGTTTCCTAGCCCCAAATTTTTGTCCCCTGAAGAAAAATGTCACGGGTCTGGGCTGAGTGCTAGTTGTACGAAAATAATAAGGAGCCTGAGTAGTGGTCCCAGGCCCTCGTACTACTTTCTTATAGCTCATTCTAACATTCTGATGATGGATAGTTTGATTCCTGCTGGAAATTTTTCTGTTTACGAGTATTTAATTGACGTGGTTATCTTCAGATTGCTTCCGTTGCAACAAAAGCTGCCAATTATGAGGATTGGTATTGGAAAAATCAGCTCGGCAAGTGTTATATGAGGTATTCCAGTCTATTCTGAAATATTTGGAGAGTTAGGCTAAACTGCATGTCCTTTCTGAACGTCTGTTGAAGTCGAGTTAACTTTCTTCTTGCACACAGGCTTGGTCTACATCAAGAGGCTGAGAAACAGTTTTTATCATCGTTGAAGAATCACCGTTTGCCTGAAACTCATGCTTACCTAGCTAAGGTAATTCAGAGGGTTATAAAACTTCATTAAATGCGTTGATGAATGCCTCAAGCATGACCTATGATCCGTAGGAACCAATTACATTTCGTGGTCGATGGTGGGGGTGAGGTATGCAGAGTCTAGAGGCTCACTTCGATCGGCATGGTCGACTGCCGGCTTCACTTAACCTTCCTTCCTCTTGGGGTTAGTTTATTGGTGCCAGACTTTGGTGAAAGAGCAAAACTATAATGCAACCTAACATGAGGAAAAAAGTAATAGATGGGTAAATAAGGAAACACATAGGAGGGCGAACCTTGCCCAAACAGCAAGGTTCCTATTCTACCTTTTACATGCAGGTTTATAGAGCTGATTGTTTATTCATTTGTAACATAATTACATAAACTCCTATTCGAACATGCGGTTTCACATTTCCCATTAACTTTCGTCACCAGGGCTATTTGCAGGTGTACAATCGCCTCGATCAACCGCTTGTGGCGAATAAATACTATGAACAGGGTCTCATGCTCTATCAGGATGATGTCACTTTACTGACCGGATTAGCAAGGAATAAAGAGGTACTCCACCCGAGAAAAATTGTTTTTACAAAATAATCTATTCAATTTAACCTTCAAACGATTGTGTTACATGTGGTACACTCCGTTACGCTGCTTTACCGCACCATATCAAGTATTATCACCTCAAGAATGTCTGCCTTCTTTTTCAGCTACTCGGCGAATTGGGCGAGTCCAACGAGTGCTACAAAAGGATTCTCAGCGTACAGGCAAACAATATCGAAGCTATTGCATGCATTGCAACTAATTGCTTCTATGATGACAAGCCAGAAATCGCTCTTCGATACTATCGGTAAAAAGAGATGATCCTCCAAAATAATTTAGGATAAAAGTGGATTTTGGACAACAGGAACTCAACTATGTTTTAGAAGGATTATGCAAATGGGAGTTAACAGCGCAGAGCTGATGATGAACATCGGATTGTGCTGCTTTGCCTGTCAACAATTCGACTTTGCTCTTTCATCGATGCAAAGGTAACCAGCTGAATGAAGAATTTTTACCCCTATGTAATTGCCTATTACGGGTGGAAAAAATCGGGGTAAATAAATAGGATAAATAAAAAAGTAAATCAATGAATCAATAAGGATATACGTGGAACGGCAAAGCTGTATTCAAAATACACGGTTCGACTGAAAAAATACTTTTTCCTTCTTGAAAATTCTTTTTGAAAAATTTTCTGAGGCGCAGAACGTCACAACTATTTTAGAGCTCATTCAACGGCCACAGAAGAGGTTGCAGGAGAAATATGGTACAATACAGGACACATAATGCTGGTAATTACAGTAATGTAACATTATTATGTAAAGTTAAGGATAAAATCAGTAAAAGCTTAACGGACAACAAGCAGGCGTTCACCTACACGTAAAAAAAGACTTTCAAGATGTTCTGGTACCCGGTGGAGGCGCTACCGATTGTTCATCAGGTCCCATTCCTCTCTTTTGCTCTTTTTGTGTATCCTCCTTTCTGCTTCTATACGATCCCTTTTCATTCATACCCTCCACCACCTCATTCTCCATCCGATTCTCCAGTTCATTGTACATCTCTTTAGAGTGCGCTCATTCCTTTCCACAACCATCAAACATTTCTCTGCTCACTCTCAAGCAAAAGTTACCCCTCCATTTCAGCAACGTGACATACGTCGCGGGTAGAGAGGATAGGCTGTTTGATGGGAAGGTCTGTGGTCTAGGTTTCTTAATAGTTCCTTGAGGGGGACGGAACATTCACCCAGAACTGGATGGACGCGGCAAATGGCGCGGTGAAGTACATGGCATTTAGGACGACTTGGACACCTAGGGTCCGAGAACTTCTCCCCTAACACGGCGTCGCATACGTCGC